AAAAAAAAAAAAAGGGAAAAAATGCCTTCTATAGATATTTACGCCTAAAATAAAAATCAATAAGGGAATGCCAGAAGTCAAGTTGCCCAGCCATTAGTTAATTATGGGTGCCATGTATGTCAATGGGCCTTGATGATAATCTAGAGCCTACTTGTCTGCAGTCCGAATTCCAAACAAAGATGAGTAGCGGCTAGTGCCATATGGTAAGGGATAAAGTTATCATTCTATTAATTAAATTGAATTTAATTCAAATTAAGAAGAGGATTATTAAGAGAAGGACACCTTAGGGTTTATTTGAGTTAGGGTTGGAATCAAAGTATTGCCAAACATGTGAAAACTACCATCAGATGTGGATCAACCACTAGCACAATGTTGTAGGAAGAAAACTGAAAGTCATGAAGGAACTACTCTAGCACTAAAGAAAAGAAAAATAAAGGGAAAATTTTAATTTTCTTCGAGCTTGCCCCTTTTAAAAATTGCCCAGTGCAGTTGTTTTCAATTCTAGATTTGCTTAGCTATTTTTTCGCATGATTTCTAAATTGAAGCTTGAAGATCTGCTCTAGTTCGTAGTTTTAGTTGAATCTCTTGTTTTATTTAAAAATTTCATCAAACATTTCATCTTTTGTTAATATTTGAGGATTAAGAAACAAACAAACCTTATTCTTCAAGTTTATTCCTTTAATTATTGTTGGATTTTTTGGTGAAAACTGAAGAAACTTGGAGGAGGAAGAGAGCCAACTGGGAGTTCCTCTTTATTAAGGTGAGAACTCCACTTTTCTTCATTCATGTTCTGCTATTATATAGCAGAAAACTCAGTACATCAATAGTAATTTTCATACTTATCTAATACATTTAATGCAAGATTACATTAAAAGACTTGCTGCCACTTGTGCAGCTTCATGTGGCTATACTTGCTGCTACTTTGCAGCCTCATTTGCATTTCATTACAGCCTCATTTCATCAACATTTGTAGCATGGTTTGCTACACTTAGCTGCTACCGTGCTTTGGTGCAACCTTCCTTCTCCATTTGCTGCCTCTTGTGCAGCTTTCCTTCCATTTGCTTCCTCTTGTGCAGCTTTGACACCACAACTCCAACACTCCTCCTTGGTGTTAAAGCTACGGGAAGGAAGAAATTTACCAAAGCATTTGGAATCTGCCATTTGTAGTTCTTCATGCTTCGGTTTCGCTTTGTTGTTGCTGCTAAAGCATCTCCTTTAGCAAATCAGCTCCTCCTTCAATGTTGCAACTTCATGTTGCTTGGATTTGCTGCTTTAACACATTTTGGTGGAGCTTGACTGAACCTTCCCATAAGTTTCTCAATTTTCCTTTGCCATCATCTCCACCAAACATTCTTTGCCATGAGCCCGTGGAAGTTTAGAGCATCTCAGCCACATCCATGAAGAGTTTTCTTAGTAAAACTCAAAAAACCATAGCTAACATAAAAGATTGGTGAAGAACATACCATGAAATTGAGTTTTTTGTGCTCAGTTTCCCATTCCATGTTTTGTCCTTTCGGATTGATTTTGGAACAACCATGAACACCTTCTCTTTGAATCCAACTTTCCTCTCCTTGACATTTCCCATGGTGGGACTAACATATGCCTCCATCTTCACAGCCTTTTTTGTTGCAAGATTTTGGCCAAGCAAGAGGGGTTTCACATGAAAAAACCATATGAAAAACAAAGAAAGGTGGGTTTTTTTTTTTTTTTTTTTGTTGGTGTTCCCTCAACATCACTCTCAGAGGTCCCTCAAGATCATTGAGGCTCTGATACCATGTTGGATTTTTTGGTGAAAACAGAAGGGACTTTGAGGAGGAAGAAAGCCAACCGGGAGTTCCTCTTTGTTAAGGTGAGAACTCCACTTTTCTTCATTCATGTTCTGCTATTATATTGCAGAAAACTCAGTACATCAACAGTAATTTTCATACTTATCTAATACGTTTAATGCAAGATTATATTAAAAGACTTGATGCCACTTGTGCAGCTTCATTTCCTTTCATTTGCTACCACTTGTGCAGCTTCATGTGGTTGTACTTGCTGCTACTTTGCAGCCTCATTTGCATTTCATTTGCATTTCATTATAGCCTCATTTCATCAACATTTAAAGCATGGTTTGCTACACTTAGCTACTACCGTGCTTTGGTGCAGCCTTCCTTCTTCATTTGCTACCTCCTGTGCAGCTTTCCTTCCATTTGCTGCCTCTTGTGCAGCTTTGACACCACATCTCCAACAATTATTCTTTTCATTGGGTTGAATATTTGCTTCCTTCCTGCCTTCAGTCATGCTGAAATTCATCATCTTTAGATCGTTTTCCCTTTATTTTGAAGTAGGAAATTAGTTTGCAATTTTCCAGATCTTAGATTAGTTAGCAATTAGATTGTGTTCTAGTTTAATTTAACATTATATCTTCAAATAGTTTAATTAATTTTAGATTAATCTAGAAGTGTTCTTAATTTCTAAAGTTATCATGGTTTGTAGGATTTTAGGCATAGTTTGCAAGTCCATCCAGTCATTTGTATGTGAATTTCCCTTAATGATTGTTGTTTTTGTGTTGTTTTCAATTAATTTCTTTAGAATATTGTGTTTAGTTTAGGATTAGTAGCCTTTTATACATCTTTGTGGTTTTAAAGTCTTTAGAGTTATCCAAGGCATGTATTAATCCATTTTGCAAAACACTATCCTTTGTTTTGCAACATTGTTTGAAGCACAGAACAATTCACAGATAGACATCCTTTCCAACCATCCTAATTGGAGGTCAACCACTAGAAAGCAGGGAGTCATTGAAGAAATCTTATTTTCTTGTTTTTAGACAAAGCAAATGGTACACCCTAGACCCAGACTCACAAGACAAGGGGGCAACTAAGGATTTTTGAGAAAACAAACCTTTGTTGGCATGGCTAGTGGGACTACTAAGGTGTATCAATCAAAGTTCACAAATCCTTTATTCATTTATCAAAGACATCTAAAGTCATGCCACCTAAAAGGAATATTGCAAATGAAGCTCGACTACTCCAAACTAAACTTAGAGATGTTAGCCCAGTTCACTCTGAGGGTGAAAATGATCCCATTACTCCTTTCCCACTATCACCTCTTATAGAACGATCATATAGGAATCCAATATTCATGGGAAAGATGATGATTGAAGGGATGATTTTCTTGAATCAAGTAACATGCACTTCAAAAGTATGTCCAAACAACTGGAGATGCTGTGTAGGGAACAAACCTTGTCTACACAAAGACTCATGGACAATTAGATTAAGACTACCAAATGCCAAACAAATCTTATGACCCAATTCTTAGTAAATGATCAGCGTTTCTTTGATGAAAACTCTAGGGTTATACAGGAGGAAAGTGCTAAAAATCGAAGAACATTATAGACTACATTTGAACAAGCACTTGATCATATGTGTCAACCCAAACAAAAGGTTCCACGTTTGGCTGCAGATGATCTTAGACACATTTAGGATGTCTTAGCTCCAATGCTTGAGGAGCAATAGAACCAACCACATTTTAATGCACAACAACAAAATTTTTTTATTGGTGAAGGATAAAGGCAATTTGATCATGTTGAGGTTATTGTCCCAATCACATATCAAGGTCACCAACCATAATAGAGGTATGGTATTGGTTTGGACAAGAGCAAAAGTCTTGGAAAATGTTATCTTTTTAGATTCTTATGCGAGATCAACCAACTCATTCAACTTAACAGTCTTAAAATTCTTGTTAGTAAGTCTTACTGAAGATCCAAAGCCTCTAACCTTTTTGGGAGTTTACTATGTGTCTAAGAGAAAGGAGTTTTTTCCCTCCTTATCTAGGAAGTCAGTAAGCTGATTCTTCTTTACGGTGCTAGGTGAGCCTTCTTCTTCAATTCACTTAACCTATCTCTCAGTAGTTGAAGCAACCTTGGATGGCGAGACTAGTGGTGCTGTAGAAAGTTTCCTTACAATTGGAGGTTTTTCGGATGTTCTTTTTAGATTTGCAAACCATAAAGCTTAGGTTAAATCCCCATTTTGGTCCCTGAACTATTGTACGAACCCCCAATTTAGTCCTTGAACTAAAGAAATCCCTGATTTGGTCCCTAAACTATTGTACGGACCCCCGATTTGGTCCCCACTGTTTATAATTTGGCCTAAGTTAGTCCTTGAACTATTGTACGGACCCCAATTTGGTCCTTACTCTTTACAATTTGGCCCCAATTTGGTCCCTAAGCTATTATTTAACAGAAGGACTAAGTTGGGGCTAAATTGGTAAACAGTAGGGACAAAATTGGGGATCCGTATAATAGTTTAGGGACTAACTCGGGGGTCTGTACAATAGTTTAGGGACCAACTTAGGGGTTTGTACAAAAGTTCAAAGACCAAATTAGGGATTTCTTTAGTTCAGGGACCAAATCGGGGGTCCGTACAATAGTTCAGAGACCAAAATAGGGGTTTAACCTAAAGCTTAAGACTTAGCAAATATATAAATAAAACACAACAATACCTAGTATAGGACTGACTTTACCTTATCTTTTTGGAGCCTTTTTGGGTGCTTATCTTGCTTCTTTACTTCTTGGGCTGGGAGCTTTTTGATTGGCTAGGGTTTTCTTCTTAGTTAAGGGCTTTATGGTCTTCCTAGTTACAACAGAATCTAGACCTTCTTTATTTTCCTTTGGGTTTGATTCATCAGCAGATTTTTTGAGTTAAGGAGATAGTGCTAGTTGAACAATATTCTTAACTTTACTTGAAATATGTGGCATGAAGTATGTTGCCACCACCCTTTATAGTCCAAACTGCAACTAAGATTGAATAATGGCCCTTCCAAGGCTGGTTTTTGTAAGGCTTACATTATAGAGGCAATATAGACTGAAACTACATTGGCTCACCCATCACATATCAAAGTGGAAAGTAATGGTTGAAAAAGAAGAGTGGTGGGATTGAAATTCCTCGGGAGTAACCCTATTAGCGACAAAATAGATTTGGAGCATAAAGTTCAACCACACTCTTGCCATATCCATTATTGCAACCAACAGACAAATCTTTGGACGTCACATATGTAGACCAAGCAAAAATAAAGTCTAGAGATCTAGTCTTAGCCCTATACCAATTTAGGCCAAATTGCCTATCCAAGAAGATTAGAAATTCAAAGTCTTGTCTGTCAATCGAAAGGGAAGCAAAGTGCATGAAGCAAAATTCAAAGCCCTTGGCAGATTTCTCGTTATTATTTGCATCCTTGAACATCATGTCATAGGCTAAAATGTCTATGGCATTCATCGACTTGAGTGTTAAAGCTAGAGTTGGAAAATAAGAGTATATCCAAAGTTGCAAGATCCACAAAAAGACTTCCACAAAGGCAAAATGGATAAATCATAACATCATGGCAACCATGATAAAGATAGGCCAATAAAAAAGGAGCCAAAGCCAAATGCTTGCCATGAGGTAAAACAATGGCAAGTATGATGAATTCTTTGGTGGGTCCTTTTCCAACAGAGTAGACCATGAATTTGTAGATTATAGTCAATAGAAAAGAGATGTACTCCAACATGTCTAGGGCTTTATTTAATTTCTGACTAGCTTTGATGAATTGTAAATGAGATGGTCTAAAATCTTTTGAGTCGTATTTAGCCCTAGGGATAGATAAAAGAGTAGTAATTTCCCTGCCAACACAAGATAACCTAGTTAATAGAAGGTTAAATGCTAAATTTGGTCCCTTAACTTTATTGAGTTGCACATTTTTGGTCCCTCAACAAATTTTTGCACTTTTTTGATCCCTCAACTATATAAAATGCACTCTGTTAGTCCTTCCATCTAATTGGGCCGTTAACTCCGCCATGTGGCATTTTTTACATTTTTTTTGATGATTTGGATAGTCCAACTGGAAAAAAACGATGCCATGGATCGTCCAACTAAAAAAAAATGATGACATGGAGATAAATTTTTTTATTTTTAATAAAAAAAATAAAAAAAAAA